GCCCCCCCCCCCCCCCCTTCTCTCCGCCCCTGCTTCCCGGGAGATTACTTCACCAAAACAATAAAGAGTGCATTCTCCCCCCCGAAATTCCTTTAGAGTTGGAACCCCAACTCGGAATGGCGCCGGTGCCCCCTTCGTCATCAAGACGGTTGTAAACGGCCAAGAGACTCTTGTGGAACAGAGCTTCCATGAAACGGCTACAATATGCAAGCATGGTCTTCAAAGTCTCCAACAGCTCATGCAACGTGTACGAAATCATGTTTTAAGAGATGAACCTGCATTAGATGATGAAGGAAATCAAGAGTTTGAGTGCCAATGTATGTTCCATCAAGATGTCCTTACAAGCGTGTGGGACGAGTTGAACGAAGAAATGGACTTCACCCTTCTCCTACAGCAGCTTCAGTTCCTGGTTTACATCATTTGAGTTGTGTCTTAGTTGATTTGTATGTGTTTTTGTACACATACGATCACTCATCTCGATCTAGCTAGCTAGTCTCTTTGCAAGGTCGGTTTTGATGAAATGATGGTAAACATTCATTTTGTGCTCTCTTTTTTTGTGATTTTTAATTTCAGCATCCAGTGACACTTGCTAAAGTGCCATTATTTCTCTATCTTCTTCATGTCATCCCATTCTATTCTAGCTATTTCCGCACCTTTCTTTTTTTTTAATATTTACTTCTACACCTATTTCCAATAAAGTAATGAGCTGAGGATTGAACAAATGATATATTGATCTTTCCTTTTTAGAAACAATTGTTGGTGATTTGATGAAACAATTGTTGGTGATTTCATCAAATCACTAACAATTGTTTCTAAAAAGGAAAGATCAATATATCATTTGTTCAATCCTAAAAAGGAAATAGGTGTAGAAGTATTAAAAAAAGAAAGGTGCGGAAATAGCTAGAATAAAATGCAATGACATGAAAAAGATGGAGAAATAATGGTAGTTTAACAAGTGTCACTGGATGCTGAAAATTAAAAATCACAAAAAAAAGAGCACAAAATGAATGTTTACCATCATTCCATCAAACCGGCCTTGCAAAGAGACTAGCTAGCTAGCTAGCTAGATCGAGATGGGTGATTGTAACAAATACATATACAAATCAACTAAGCCACAACTCAAATGATGTAAACCAGGAACTGAAGCTGCTGTAGGAGAAGGGTGAAGTCCATTTCTTCGTTCAACTCATCCCACACGCCTGTAAGGACATCTTGATGGAGCAGACATTGGCACTCAAACTCTTGATTCCCTTCATCATCTGTTGCAGGTTAATCTCTCAAAACATGATCCCGTACACATTGCATGAGCTGTTCAAGACTTTGAAGACCATGCTTGCATATTGTAGCCACTTCATGGAAGCGCTGTTCCACTTCTTGGCCGTTTACAACCGTCTTGATGACGAAGGG